CTCATTAGTGAGAATAGAAAGAATTAATCTGCTTATTAAATGGCTGCTTTCCAATAATTAATAACCTCACAAGCATGATAATTAATGTTCTTTTCCCCTATTAAATTTTGGGTTTGGTTTTGTATGAAAAGGAAATTGTTTTGTCTGTTTATGTAATGGAAGATTGGATCTACAAAACACTATAAGCCAACGTGCAAAAACAGGCTCTGCCACGTAATCCTCTGCTGAATTCCCCGTACAGTTCAAAGGGTTATTGTAGTCACTTCCGTAACCTTTCTCTTTCTTACTCGCTGTCTTCCAAACTCGAACCAGAAAGCGTCGAATATTTGTCTCCGTCTCTTCCCACCCGCCGTATCTTTTTTTTTTGTCTCTTCCCAACCCCAACTCGATACTGAGATCTTCTAACCGTCCTTCTCTCGCACTGAATCGAAAAATCAAAGTTATCCCGGCCTGTCTCGATTCATCTCTGCTCTCTACAGGCCGTGAATTATTTCTCCAAATCACACTCAATCTGCCTCTTTTAACTTCTCCGAGCTTTGGATAGTTTGTTGTTGGCTGCTCTGACTTGCAAGTCCGCTGGATAATTTCCCATCCGCTGTTATTGTTTGGTGTATTTGGCGTATTTAGTCTGGGACACGTCTCTCTATCAAATTCTGCTCTCGGCTCAAACTTTGTCTCTGTAAGTTCCATCTCTTTATATTTTGGCTTCTGCGAAGCCTGGGTAAGGAATTTGCCCTCCCTTTTTCTTCCTTCTCTTTTTATTTTACCAATGGTCATGTGAACCGAATGCAGAGTATTAATTCCAATCATGTGTGATTCAGGCCTTTGACTATTACATAGTATCAGTTCCCGTCGGCAATTCAGTCCGGCACTGCCCTACTGCCGTTGCATTGTTTTAACGGGATTAAGACCTAATTTCGAGATTGTTTTGATAGAATCATACTTTTCAAGAACTAGAAGATGCTGACTAATTGATTATCTTTGTCAATGGGTTTTCTCTTGGGTGTGCAAAGATTGCAGTAATGTCGTTAAAAAGTCATCGCGATAACACTTCTTCTAGCCAAAAAAGTAGATTATATAAACTGCTAAGTAATGACTTGGAATCAGCGACTTCCTTTCTTGGCTATTCCATTCCGTATCAAATCATAGTGAGTGTCTATTAGGGGATTAAGGTTCAATTTTTTGTTGGTTTTCTCTTGGGTGTGCAACAATGAGGCCCAAGCGTCAGAGTGAGGAACCTTCTTCTGCCTCAATTGATCCTCCATTCAAGTCTAACTCTACTCCTATTTGATGTAATATACTCCTTTAGCCCTTACTACGGTGTTTTTCTGAGATTCAAAGTCATGTACATTCTGCAGTGAAGCCTAATTTCAGCCATGTATTCCATTGTGTCTTTGTTAGGGAAAGGAAGATCTATTTGTATCTCTCCTGAAAGTTCGACACTTGCCGAAGTTGACGGAGAGAGGCTGTGACTTGAGGGTGGTAAGTAAAGTTGAAATGAAAGTCTTTGAACTGACAACATATCCATATCCTTCCTCATGCTTATTATATACTGTACATCTGATTGCACAAATAAAGAAGTTTTGACTCGGTAGACAATGACTTGATTTTTAGTTGTTCTTCCCTGTTATACTTCTTAATGATAGTTATCAGCAAGTTGAAAGCTTGGCTTACTTGCGTTGATCATCATATTGCGAATTTAGTTAGGAGGAGAAGGAAGTTCCTTTTGGTGGTGCGAAGGTTGCATGGAGTGCGTGTTGTTTCAGTCCCAAGTATGCCATTCTTTTCTTCTTGCTTATATATGGACTGCTTATGAAGTTCAGTATCATCAGTTCTGTTTTTTTTTATGAGGTTGTGCATGGATTAGAGAATACCTTATTAGATTGTTGGCTTCAATTGTTCGTTGTATCCAATTAAGTTACATTAGTTCAATAATTAGCTTCTTAATGTTAATATCAGTTTGAATATGGATTGGAAATTGTTTGATTTCTACAGTTTTCTTATTATGCAGTTGCTTGAATTGGATAGGGTTGTAATGTATGTTAGTTGTTCATTATAAATGTTGTAATCACTTATCCTAAGGAATAGGTTGTTTGTGTTTGGATCCGCCCGTTATTTATCATAATGGATATCTTTTTCATTTGTTTCTGGGGACACAAATCTGAATGCCCCTGTGATGCCTCCTGAAGTCCCAGCTGCAGAGATTCCCAAAATTTCACTAGCTCAGCTAAATGATTTCAAAAGCATGGAAGCACAAAGTGTATGCTTTGTTTTTCTATACAAGTGTATTCATTTCAACACCTTCTTTTTTTTTCTTCCTAAAACCAAGTTTTTTGTTTATGTTTCGAATAAACTTCAGGACTAACTATTTTTAGTTGAAGGAAAGGTGACTCAAGTGCGTCCTAAATGGTGTTACACGGGTTGTGTTGCGTGCCCATGGAAGGTGGAGGAGGATATCGAGGAGTATTTTTGTGGCCACTGTAAGCCAAGTAAGCTAATGACCTATTTTTTTGCATTGTACACAACTGCATTCTAGACGTTTTTGTTGTCTGAGTTTGATATCAAAGTAAAATGTTACATCAAAACTATGATGAGATATGGGGATATATGGGTTTGTTAACATTTTTTCCATGTTCACTGTAGGTATAAAGTTAAGTTCCAACTGGAAGATAATACTGGAGAGGCTGATTTCGCCATCTTGGAGCATGAAGGGCTGCGTTTTTTTGGAGTCATTGCTAATGAGTTATTCCAATCAAACCATAGGAACAAAGAACCTCTTCCTCTCCAGATTCAGCAGATTGTTAACATGACACTGAAGCTAATTGCTAATCTAACTCAGTTTAACATCATGAACCCACAAACTGAGATTTGTGGTCAGCATTGATCATGATCCTCTTCAGGTAAATGAACATCCAGCTCCAAATTAGTTTACTTTGGTTACAGCCTGCAAATTAAGTTCATAGCTTTAACCTGCCTTATGTCGAAACATAACTTGCAGAAACTCAATAAGGATCCATGGTCAAAGGACCTTGGAGGAGCAACCTCAACTGGATAGAAAATAGAAGCTGTTCTTGATTGTGAGGCTGATGATGAGAAGTAGTATTGTTGTGGCCTTGCTCTACCTAATACCCACCATATCAAGCATTCTGTTTAGTATTAATTATTGTTTCCTCTACGGGATTTTTAGTTTTATCTTTTTTATTCAGGTCCCTATTGAAACTCAGGTTCTAGGTTGTTTCCCTTATGAATTTTCCTCTTCTGTTTAGTATGAATTGCGAGCAGTAATATGGATCTTTGCCCCTAATGCTTTTCAATCTGTTGGACAGTTTTATCTCTGTGGATTCCCTTTTTTTGTTGAATCAATTTTGGGTCAAAATTGTCAAACCTATATGAGGCGTAGTCCAGTGATGACTCCATTTCTGAGATAAACAGGTTGTTGGTATCATTCATAAGTTCTTATTGTCAAAATTTGCTGCATTTGTTATATTCCCGATTGATTTTGTTTGATGTTATTTTTTATTGATTCTGTTTGCTGTATTTTTCTGATTGATTCTGTTTGCTGTCCATTTTTTGATTGATTCTGTTTGCTACATTTTTCTGTTTTCTGATTGATTGTGTTTGCTGCACCCTTGCTAACAATAGGTAGAGTATAATTTTTACTCTAATTGTAGCTGAACCATTACAAAGCAGAGTCTTTAACAGACAATTTGCAGCAATAGTTACTCTTGAAAATCACCCTTAAAGCCTAATGTTTTCTTCATAATGTCCTGTGTAGTTGAGCTTATTGCCTTTCTGAAATGGTTGCTTTATCAAATGGTAGTAGAGCTATGTATCTATTTAGTTTTTCATGTTGACATTAAATTTTATTAGTGAAGATTTGGATTCAACTGAACCTTAGTTGGAGATTATACTTTATAGTCTACACTTTGTTCTTCAATTTTCAAAACCAAACCCAGCCAACGGGTCGGGCCCAATGCTAGTAAAAAAAGGAAAGGGACAAGGCAATGGAAAGTGGCGGCTACCTCACTTCCTATAAACACGTACTCCTTTCCTTTTTGTGTTTTGACTTTTTTTTACTCTTATTCGATTTTTCATTCATCTTATACGGAGCAAATTATTGATTTATGACCGGTTCTTAATACCAATTAATTAACGGTTATCCGATAAATATTGAACCTCTCGTGATTCCGGACCGATGTCAAGTTCGGTTTTGAAAACACTAGCCTTAAGTTAATCAGATTCACTCCTATCTATTGAAGAAGCTCTTTCAACTTTAATCAGATTCTATCTATCATAGGTTAAAGTAGAAGTCAAGAGATTTTGATCAGATTCAAATGACTCAATAAACATGTCTCAATTGATTACAATCATCCAGTATAACATCCCAAAAGTGAAAAGTCATTGCAAGTAAGATTCCTAACACATGGAACTAGGGTTCTTCATATCGAAGTGAGAGAAAGGTTTGCTCCATAAAGAAAGGAAATCAAAAATCAAAATAGTCATACACATAAAGATGGGAATAATCTGCTCGGGGATATCAATGTTCACTCCTGGAGATGCAATCTGAGATTCAATGATGAGAAATCCACTCCAAATAGCTCCTACGGTTTGTTCTTTGTCACTTTCTCTCTTTTGAACTATGTTTGTGCTCCAAAAAGTCGAATCCCCATTCCTTGGCTCGAATCTGCCTATATACCCCGATACTGGGCAAAATATGGGCAAGAGCACGGTCTTGCTTACTGACTTATCGTGTATTGACCAGATCACGCTTTTTGCATAAGTTGGGACAAGGAAATCTACGGCCGCGTCTAGGTAAAACACCGACAGTATTTTGAGAAGCACCGGTGGTATTTTGAAAACTTTCTCAACTTTCTCTAACAATAAAGTTTTCTCAATATAAAAAAGTTTGATATGCATGAACAATATATCACTGACAACAGTACATTACTATTAATCGTTTCACATGACAAACGATGTTCCAAAACAAAGAAACCCCAGTTCATGAAAAAACTGGATTATTGAACACAAACATACATAGTACTATAGGTAATAATAATAATAATAATAATAATAATAATAATAATAATAATAATAATAATAATAATAATAATAATAATAATAATAATAATAATAATAATATAGCGCATCACCACGTAGCCATTGCTACGGCAACAGTCGCCACTAGAGTCGACGATCGACATTTACTCCTCCATGGCCTCAACAACCTCATCCTCCTCATCAGAATCATCACTGTCATCACTGTCATCGTCGGATTCGAAGTCTCCAATAACTGTGACGAAGCCATCATGGTCAACGCAGATCTTCACCGTGGTCAGCGGCAGGCCATCCTTGGAGTACACCCACTTCGACGACGTCGCATCGCCAGCCACCGAACCACCAGCCGCCGCAGACTTGTTATTATTAGTTCCACTCCCGTCCCCTCCCGCCGGCGCCGGTGCTTGTTCATCAGCAGTAGCGACATAGAGACGGATGGCGGAGTAGACGATCTTCTCCACAATGACGTCACGATCCATGGGGATCTTCATGGGGAGGAAGGACTCCACCACCTTGCGGACAAAAGGCAGCGCGGTGTCCTCGTTCAGCATCGGCTCGTGAGGGAGGGTGAACACGCGTTCCTCCTCGCGAGTGACGGCGGCGCCGTTGCTGGTGGTCGCCATCGCCACCACTTTCAGTTGGAAGCTCTTGTTGCCGCCGTTGTTACCTGCTGCCGCCGCCGCCATGATGTGGACGATGATTGGAACGTTTCTCTGATGCTGCTGCAGTATGAATTATGTGGCGCGGGATGTGAAGAGGCAGCGGCGATGGGTTTTTATAGAGGAATGAGGCAGCGTTTCGCGTTGCGATACGATGGTTGATTCATTTATTTGAAGGAAAAAATGGAAATGAGTTTTAGTAACTGTCAATAGTTTGAGCGGTGTGGGGCGTTAATTTTACAAACAAAGTTTTAATGAATATACCTTAAGTTTGAGGGTTTTTTTTTTAACAAATCTGATTTCATATTTTGAAAAAAAAGTGTGTATATATATATAGTTTTACATTTCATTCAATGAATCAGACTAAATACATTCAGAAAAGGAAATTAAATTAATTATATTTTCGTAGCTTACCGTAACGTAAATAATTTGACTTCTTTTTTCCCCAATGTAACGTATATCACACTCCAAATTGTAACGTAATGCACGCGCTTCATCATGCTACTCCCGACAACCGCCACACCAATCTTGGTCGCATAGCCTGATTCATTGAAAGAAATGTAACAATATATATTGCAAAAATATGAGCTCACTATGAATATTAATTTATTGGGTGCGCCTATGGTGCCTTGTAAGTTATCGTAACTTGCACTGTTCGGTCGACCTCAGTTAGGATTAGGTCGACCTAATATATATGTTGTTTAAATGTAAAAACAGTTTCATGGTGCTTACTTTGGAGATTCATAACTTACAATTGGCTCGAAGAAAATTGGAGATTAACGGCTTGTTTTGAAGCTGGAGTGCCCCTCTACACATTGAAGTGCTTGCAAGCTCAATTGAAAGTCTAGAAGACCATGCTTTAAACTGATCAAAAGGCTATGCCAAAACAGAAAACTGCCTGAGAATGGCCAAGTGTGGGGAACGTCTTTATGAAGCCTACTTTGGAGCTCAATTCGAGAAGCATGGATGAGAGTCGAGTCCAGGGGACTCTACCACAAGAAAGTAGGTATATTTGTCTACAAATTCAAGGCATTGGATGAAAGATTGTATATCTGGAAGGCTTCAAACAAAAGGCTCGAAGTTGCTTCAAAGAAAAGGCTTCAAGCTGCCAGAAAAACAGCCTTTATAGCAACTTCGAGCCTTTTGTTTGAAGCCTTAAAGATATCCAATCTTTCATCCAATGCATTTACTTTGTAGAAAAACATACCTAATTTCACATGGTAGAGGCCCCTAAACTCGACTCTCATCCATGCTTCTCGAATTGAGCTTAAAAGTAGGCTTCACAAACACGTCCCCAGAGTTTGCCATTTTCAGGCAGTTTCCTAGTTTTGGTATAGCCTTTTGATCAGGTTCAAAAATGGTCTTATGGACTTCCTATTGAGATCCCAGGTACTTCAATGTGTAGAGGGACACTATAGCTTCAAAACAAGTCATTAATCTCCAATTTCCATCGAGGCAATTGTAAGATATGAATCTCCAAAGTAGGAACCATGAAAATATTTTTACACTGAAACAATAGATTAGGTCGACCTAATTCTATGTGAGGTCGACCGAAAAGTGCAAGTTACGGTAACTTGCAAGTCACCGTAGCAAATTCGTAATTTAGTTTATCGTTATTATATTATTAATTTAATTATCTATCTATTTATTTTGACTAAGGCAACTAGCAACCAGAGGAGGATCTAATTCTAACGCCCATATTGTAAGACGGTTCCAAATCGTTGTCGTATGTCTAGTCAAAATATCTCTTACTCATTTGTTATTAAGCTCTTAGTCTCTGAGATGTTTTTCGTTGATGTGTGACTCATTCATTTTCTAATGTTTTACTTTATGGTGTTGCACAAATGGTCATTCAGACGGTCAACACGAAGGATTCTTAGCAAGCGATAATATTTCAACCACTTAATTTTTCTTTTTTTTTTCTCTAAAATGGAAATAAATAACTAATTATTTTTATATTAGCAACAACATAGTCGAGAGCATTGCTGTAACAAGGAAGTCAAACCAAGGTTTGAACACAACATAATGAAACAACCCTGCCTTTCACGTGCCTTTGAAAAGTTACAAAAATTAATATTTGACAACAACAATCTAACTGTGGAAGCACATAGACCATACTTCCCTCCTTAACTAGCATTCTGTAAGAGTACAAAGTGAAATGGCAGGCAAAACAAGGAACTAGGCTTTGTGCAATCTTGAGTGGTACGATCGGGCCAACGAACAGTTTGTGTCCTTCTTCAATCAGTACTCGTTGTGGCGCCAGGAAGAAGTAACCTAAGTAATCGAAATAGATGGGCGACATCTTCGCCTACAAGAGCATATAGAAACAAGAGTAGTGATACTTACTATTATGGGTCAAAGAGTTCAAGGATGCAACTAGTTTGTATCCAATCAAAACTCACCGGAATTAGCGCCCACAGGGGATCATCGGAGGAATAAATTGCAGAAACACCAAAGGAGATCATCGTTAGGGAAAACATCATCGTTTGGTCGGTGTCAACTTGAGGAACCTTTTCTGGCTGCCTACAATGAGTGTACAAAAGATCAATCTCGATGGTGGAAGAAGACCGCTAAAAATTATGGTAGCGATGGTAATGGTAAGAAATTGATGTCTAGCGACCAAAGCAAGAAGGTGGTTGATTCTGGGTTCTTCAGTAGCAATACTGAGAGTTGTAATTATGATAGTTATTGTAAATGTAGAAATAGTAGTAAGTTTGTGTTGTTTTGTAAGAGTTCTTGTGATGTTCAAGAAAGTAGCCTAGTGGCTTACAGTGGCTAGGCTGGCTATCTTCCTTGTTTTCCTGATGATCATAGAGTTTGAAGGATATGATGTAATATCTAGAATGTGGAAGATTTTCCCCCAAAATACACACGTTCTTAAAAAAAATTTCAAAATAAACATGTTTTATAAAAAATTATCAATCTACACATGTTTGGGCATCACCGCGACCGCCGAGCGCGGTGAACACATGCACCATGGCAAACCAAAGCTTTGAATGCTTCACCGAGGCCGAGAAACGCGGTGAAGTCTTGACCTGCGCTGAAACTTCAAACAAATGTAAACTTTGCGCTCGGTTATTGATAACGATGTATTTGCACATGTTTGCACCCTTAGTTCTTATTCGTTTGCGGCTAGTAGTCGTGTATTTTTGGCCAGTTTTACGCTGGGTTGTGCTACTTTGTCATATCTCAGGTCCCAGACGTTGAAGGAAAGGCTAAGCACGAGTTTCGTTTGCATTTGGAAGTCATTCGGTCGAGCTGGGGCCAAAGCACGGGCTGGCCTAAACCAAAACACGGCCGTGTACACAAATAGGCACGCCAGTGTTTTTATTGCCGAGAGCTGAAATGATGGAAAAGCAAAACACGGGCTGGCCTAAAGCAAAACACGGTCGTGACCATATTTAGGCACGACCGTGTTTTGGCTGACGCAGGCGTGTTTTTAACACAGGGCAAAACACGGGCGGGCAAAACCAAAGCACGGTAGTGCCCTCGACTGTGTTTTGACCAGGGTTGGCCTTTTAGGCAGATTTGAGCCAAAGGAGAAGGGGTTCCGAGTTTTAGAGAGACAGAGCGATTCCTAGAGAGAGAAAGTGACGAACCAGAGTTCCCAAGTGCCCTAGCTTGATCTTCATCACCATTGGAGCCCGGCTTGAGCTTGGAGAAGATCCGATTGAGCGCCAGAAGCAGATTATCATCCTTCACAGTATGGTTTCCGCATCTAAGCTAGATTTTCCATCTCTCTATGGAGTAGTTTTCTTATTCATCTGGGTATGGAGAACCCTAGATTTGTATGTTAGGTCTGATTGTATGAACCCAAGTACAGATTCTATGATTTGATTATATTCAATTGAGGTTTGAATGATTGAATGACTTAAATCCTGATCAAATTCCTGTTATTTCTGCTTTAGCTAGAAAGAGAATATCTGCCTAGGTTAATAGAGCACCCTTAATTGAAGGTAGTGAATTGGCGACTTTAGTCGAGGAGCCAATTCACTATTCTGTACCGAAGTTACTTCGGTAATGGAGGTTTTGTTCGTTAGGGCCTCAATCTGTTTACTCCGGTGGAGGTTAGTCGCTCGCTGGAGACTCAGATTGAGAGGGTCTGGAGACCTTTAGTCGAGACTTCAGACTGTTTAAGAACCTTCCGCAGTATAACTATCATAGAAATTGAACTTGGTAAATTACAATCCGACTTAACCACAGTCTAGGGGGAACCATATCCGGGTGACCTCTCTCGACTGGAAAACAACCTTCTTGCTTGTTTTACTTGTTTGCTTGTTTGAACTTGCACTAAAGTTTCACCGCGAAATAATAAGAATTCGCTGAGTAGTCATCACATCTAGGACCCGGGTTGACATTAAAACCCAAACCCGCTATACTACGCTTTAGGAAGTGGTTACACTTGGCCATTTTCTAGAGTGACAATAGGAGTGAGCCAAGTTTTTGGCGCCGTTTCCGGGGACGGCTAGGTTGTTGAAGAAACGTGAATTCTGTTAATTTAGCTTTTCTTTTCGCATTGTTTGCTTCGTCACACTTGTGCCTTCACGGGTTGCTTGCTTGACTGTGTGCAGGTAGTGCATGACCCGTAGCCAGTCGGGAGGTTTACTGCCGTTGAATCCGGATCTTGAACGCACCTGTCTCCAACTCAGGAGAAAACAACGAGCTAGACTGGCTACGGAGGAGCGCATAGACGTCCATTTGAGCAGCGAGTTCGAGGACGAGTACGAGATGGAAGGAGATCACAATCCACACCAGGGGAATCCTCACCAGGTTCCCCCGGTGAATCATATCTTGGGGAACAACCCCATACCCCATGCAGATGGGGGTCATCATCATCCACCGCCGCCGTGTCCCACCTTGGAGTACTACTACACTCCACGGATTGCTGACATCCGCCCTGTCATCCTCTACCCGCCCATTCCAGCGAACAACTTCAAGATCAAGCTATGCTGGATTCAACTCATTACATCCTTTATCCAGTTCCATGGCTTGAAGGATGAGGAGGCAAGGGTGCATCTTTCCCGTTTTCTGCAGCTGACGAACGGGTTCAAGCTAAACGGTGTCCCTGATGACATAATCCGCCTTC